CATCCAGCAATTCAATTCATTTCACTCAAGAGTTTACCTGTATAGTAACTTTTCAGGGAGTCACCAAGCAGCTTCAATGTTTTGTAACTTCAAATCCAGCTTTGAATATAATGGGGTTGGATTGGATCTCTGCATTTAATCTGTGGAATCACTCATTGAACACTTTTTGCCATTTAGTCAATGTCAATAAATCGCAATTCGATATCACCGAATTTCAGCGCAGATTTCAGGATGTNTTTGCAAGTGGTTTGGGGCGTTGCACAAAAGCAAAGGTCAAACTTTATTTAAAACTAGATGCTAAGCCGATTTTCAAGCCGAAGCGCCCAGTCGCTTATGCAATTTTGCCGCAAGTCGATGCTGAGCTCGATCGTCTCGAGCAAAATGGAATTATATCACCCATCAAATATTCACAGTGGGCGACACCGATTGTTGTGGTACGCAAAAAGAATGGCTTGATTNGGATTTGTGCAGATTTTTCAACGGGACTTAATGCTTCCCTGGAACCTAATCGTCATCCACTTTCTTCGCCAGATGAAATATTTTCACAGCTGTCAAATTGCAAATATTTCAGTCACTTAGATTTGGCAGATGCCTTTTTACAGATTGAGATTGATGATGAATCAAAGAAATATCTTACAATCAATACTCATCGCGGTTTTTACGTCTACAATCGTATGCCTTTTGGGGTCACTGTAGCTCCTGGAGAGTTTCAAGCCATTATAGACTCCATGATTTCTGGCTTACCAAATGTTTTTGCTTACATTGACGACTTAGTTGTTGGTGGAGAAACAATTTTGCAGTATAATCGCAATTTAACACGTCTTTTAGAGCATATTCAAGATTATGGCTTTTGACTACGACTTGAAAAGTGTACCTTTTTCACAAAAAAGATTAATTATTTTGGTTACGTCATTGATGGGCAAGGATTACATCCAGATCCGAAAAAAGTTTCAGCCATCATAGATATGCCACCACCAAAGAATTTAAATACTTTACGGTCTTTCTTGGGAGCAATTAATTATTATTCTCGATTTATTCCCAATATGCACATTTTGCGACGTCCGTTGGACAATTTGCTTAAGAAGGATGTATCATGGTCATGGTCTTCACGTTGTCAGAAGTCTTTCGAACAATTCAAGAAGATTTTGACATCTAATTTGTTGCTCACTCATTACAATCCAAAGTATGAAATCATTGTGGCAGCAGATGCTTCAAACGAAGGTCTGGGAGCTTGCATTTTACATCGTTTTCCAGATTAAACAATCAAAGCAGTCAGTCATGCTGCTAGAAGTCTTACTCCTGCGGAAAAAAATTACAGTCAAATTGAAAAAGAAGCTTTAGCAATTATGTTTGCCATTACGAAATTTCATCTAATGATTTTTGGAAGGCATTTTACTTTACAAACGGATCACAAACCGTTATTACAAATTTTTGGAAACAAAAAGGGGATTTCTGTTCATTCAGCGAATCGTTTGCAGCNATGGGCTTTGCAGTTACTGTCTTACAATTTTCAGATCGAATATATTAAAACTACAGAATTTGGACATGCTGATGTGTTGTCCAGGCTCATTGATCAGCAGAATNGCCCTGAAGAGGATTTTGTTATTGCTTCTATTTAATTGGAGGAAGATTTATCTTTGACTTTGCAAGAGTCATTACAAACGGGGCCAGTTGCACCGATTACCTTTCAGCAGATTCAAGAGGCAACTAAGAAGAGTGATATTCTTCAGGAAGTAATTAAATATACTCTTACCTCATGGCCTCAGACTGTAGAAGAGTTATCTTTGCAGCCTTATTTTCGTAGCCGTCATTCATTGTCGGTAATCCAAGGCTGTCTTTCTTTCAATGATAGAATCGTGGTGCCGTCTTGTTTTCGTACACAGGTTCTTCGACAGATTCACAAGGGTCATCCTGGAATAGAACGAATGAAGATTTTGGCACGTTCATATGTATATTGGCCGAAAATAGATGCGGACATTGAACAATTTGTTAAGCGTTGTAGAAATTGTGCACTCACCGCAAAGGCTCTTGTTAAGGTTCCTTTATGTAGTTGGACTCAGCCAGCAGCACCTTGGCAGAGAGTGCATATTGATTATGCCGGTCCATTAAATGGAGAATATTTTTTCGTTCTGGTGGACGCTTATTCCAAATGGCCAGAAGTCATACTGACACAGTCAATTTCTGCACAGCGAACAATTAGTTTACTTCAAAGTATTTTTGCTTGCTTCGGCATATCTGAAACAATTGTTTCAGATAATGGAACTCAATTCATATCAGAGAAGTTTCAATCTTATTGTTTAATAAATGGAATACAACACTTACGCAGCCCACCTTTTCATCCTAGCTCAAATGGGCAGGCTGAGCGTTTCGTGGATACTTTCAAGCGTGGACTTGCTAAACTACAAGCTGAGGAAAATAGTAGCAACTTTTCGTCAATGGATTTTCTTTCTGTTTTCCTACAGTGTTATAGGTCCATTCCAAATNCAAATGTTCCTAACAAGTTGTCTCCGGCTGAAGCACTGATGAGTAGACGAATACGGACATCATTGGATTTACTGAAACCTTCTTCTTGCCAAGTATCTACAAATGAGAAACAGCTTAAGCAAGAGATGCAATATAATCGAAAACACGGAGCAAGAGATAAAGTTTTCGCTCCGGGTACGCAAGTTTTTGTTCAGGTTTATGCAGCAAATAAATGGTCGTGGATACCTGGGAAAATCATCGAGCGGGTTGACAAAGTTCTGTATAATGTGCTTGTTCAAACACGAAATCGACTGGTTCGTGCACACGCCAATCAACTGAAGTTTAGGCACGGTGACGAAGACGAAAAAGAACTTTCCGCGGAAATTTTCATCAATGTCTTCGATCTCACAGACACTATACAACAACAAACATCACAAGAAACTCAGCAAGTAGTTACACATCACGAAGCACTTCGCGACGGAGAACAAGAAGCTGATCCAGTTTCAGCTGTTTCTACACAACAGCAAGTGGATTTACTGCCTCAAGTTTCTTCACAACAGCAAGTGGCTTCTCAACCACAAAATGTAATGCAACAAAGAGAGACGTCGTCCGAGACACTGCAGTTGGAACATAGAGAGTCTACGCCATCTGAATCTCTACCGGCTTCCGAATCTGCAAGGCCAATCCGGCAATCAGCGCAAACACGGCGCAGTCCAATTAGATACAAGAATTACGTCTGTCAACGTCTTTAAAAGGGGGAGATGTAGTAATCGATACATCGATACATCGATATCGTTACTACAATCAAATGTCATCCTAGCAACCGATACATAATCATTCAATTATTCTTAACAACTATTCTCTTGTTCAATTATGTATCTTCATTCATTCCAAGTTCATTC